CATTATGCTTGGTATATTTTTTTCCATCCTTTCACTTTGAGATAGTGTCTGTCCTTGAAAGTGAGATGAGTTTCTTGCAGACAGCAAAAAGATGGGTTTTGTTTCTTAATCCATTCGCCTAGTCTGTGTCTTTTGACTGAGAAGTTCAGTCCATTGATATTTAAAGTAGAAAGTTCCATGGGGTGCTGAATAGAAAGTGTATTCTTTGGTTCTTCGGTGGAATATTCAGAAGATGTCTGTTAGGTTCATTTTGATGGATGCTATCATTTAATTCAAACATGTTTATTCTTTGTCTGGTTGGCCTGTCCAATGGAGACAGTGGGGTAATGAAGTCCCCTACTATTACTGAGTTGGGGTTAATCTGTGCCTAAAGTCCTCTAGTGTTGTTTTTATGAATTTGGGTGTGCAAGAGTTTGGTACATATATGTTCATGATTGTAATATCTTCTTAGATAATTGTTCCTTTGATCAGATTGAAGTAACCCTTTTTAACTCTTCTGATTAGTATTAGTTTGAAGTCTATTTTGTCAGATATTAGAATTTTAACTCCTGCTGTTTCTTAGAGCCATTTTGCTTGAAATATTCTTTTCCATCCTTTAACCTTAAGGTAGTACCTGTCCTTGAAAGTGAGATGAGTTTCTTGCAGACAACAAAAAGTTGGGTTTTGTTTCTTAATCCATTCATTCAACTAGTCTGTATCTTTTGACTGGGGATTTCAGTCTATTGATATTTAAAGGTATTAATAAAAGATGAGTATTGAATCCTGTCATTTTTATTTCTGTTCACATTCTTGATATAGCTATGTTTTTCCACAGTTATGCCTTCATCGAATTTCTTTCCACAACCCCTTGGGTATAGTCATTGCCTTCTTCAGCTCTTTGTATTCCTTCAAGAACTCTCTGAAGGGCTGGTTTTGTGGACATGAAAACTTCAGCCTATTTATGTCATGGAAGATTTTTCTTTCCCCTTCGACTATAATAGACATTTTGGCTGGGTATAGTAATCTGGGTTGGCATCTGTAGTCATTTAAAACTGGGAATACTCTGGTCCAGGCTCTTCTGGCTTTCATAGTTTGCACTGAAAAGTCAGCTGTAATCCTGATGGGTTTTCCTTTATATGTGACTTGATTTTCTT